CTACGTTTTCCCATTAAGATAAGGTGGCAGCGAACGACAAGGATGGTAATATGATGGTACCATGATGACAAAACCTTGTCGAAACGTTGTACATTTGCTGTTATGTTAAACTTATATTAAAGTTTTTCTTCATTACCCATTTAAGCCGTCTCCAGCCATTATTAATCTCAAAGTGGGTTCCTCGTCATCGAAATTGCATCAGTTAGTTTCTTTTAATATCTTAATTTGTTGTTTTATTTGAGCATTCAGTCTATTAACTTGACTTGCGCATGCTGGATTATGCGTTGAGTAGCGAGTTCTCCTTAGTTGTCACGTTTGACAATTAGAGCATGTATCTCTGGTGTTAGTGTCCAGTGTTTGAGAATGTTTGGTCTTGGATCGCGGGATTGCGTCTTCAGTAGCTTTATGGATTGCTTTTGTTACGTTTTCTATGTAAGCATCTAGTTCTTGTTTTCTGTTGATGTGGTTAATAAATCATGGGAGATATGTGTTTAGGGCTGCATTGAACTCTACCCAATTTGTGAAACTATAGTTGTATACCGACGTAGAGGTGTGTGTTGCTGGGGCATGTCGGGTGTGAATCATACAAGAAATGGGGAAGTGATTGCTTGAGATTTCTTCATGTACCGTGAAATTAGTGATTTTTGGTAACATTGTGGTAGGAGCTATAATGAGATCTAGAATGTCGTATGAGTCATTTGGCGAGTGATAGTGAGTAGGTATGTGGTTGTTTATTATTTGCATGTATTTGGTAATAAGGAAATTACATAAAGTTGTCCCTCTTGTTGTGTTTCTATAGCCTTTGAGGTCTTTATGTGGAGCGTTAAAATCACCAATGATAATGGGTGTAGGGTTTCTGGTTGCACACTGTTGTAGGAAATTAAAATCTATATCTTTACTTGGAGAACAGTATACGGCTAATATTGAAATTATTAGGTGTATATTGCGGAAAATTGTTTTGTTTGTGTCTGATTTGAAAGTATCTTCTATTGATATGGGTTGAGATAATTCTAGGCTAATGTATATAATTAACCTTCTGTTATTTTGTGTGAAAGGTAAACTGAGTGATTTATACTTTGGAATGCTACTGTTTTGATGTTCTTTGCAGAGTGTTTCTGATAATATAAGGATGTCGGCATTTATCTGTGTGTTTAGGTTATTAATTTCTACCTTTTTTAAAGTGAGATTCACTTGGAAATTGATATGTAATATTTTAATGCTAGTTCTCGCTTGTAGATTCTAAGTGATAGGTGGTGTGGCCTGAGGTTGGGGAGGGGGAAGTAGTGTTTAAGTCAGTGAATGTAAACTGTTGCAGGTCTTTAATAGTATCTTGGTGGATTGTGGAGAACATGCTGTGATTGGTTTATATATCCCTGGTACTGATTGGTGGAAAGACTGTATGTCGTTTCAACCAGTGGTAGTCATAGGTTGCTCACCTCTAATCCCAAATTTCTGTTTAGTGAAGGCTTTATCATGTTAATGTAGAAAGATTCTTTAATTTTTCTTGCCTTCCAAAATTTATATGTATGTATGTATGAATGATTCTAGTTTTTTCCCAGTTTATTTTGTGTCCAGTTGCAATGGCTAAATTTTGTATTTTCATGAGTTTTGTGCTGTCTTTATGTTCATTTATTCTTGTCCTATAGATTCTTCATCAGTGTATTAGCTATATATAGCAGAACCCTTAAAGCTCTAGCACTGTAATTGTGTGTAACTTTGGGTGTGCTATTATATATCTTATTCTATTTTGTCTTGTTTTAGGAAAGTGTTAGCCACAATTTAACCATAGATGTCATTACTTTCACTTAATTTAGGGTGAGCAACATAAGGTTCTCGTCAATGAATCAGGGTTATTTACGTTTACTGTACATGGTCAAGTTTTAGTGTTCTTATATTGTTAGAATTGTACTTTTTGATAGATTGTTTAGGCATAGTGTTCATGATAAGTATATTGGAATGGATGGCAACTGCCTTTTGTAAAACATAGCTATCTGATGGAAATCTTACAAGACAATAAGATCCATTGTAGTGAAAACCAATCAGAAACCTACTAATGATAAACACAAAATGATATTTATGAAATCTTATGTTCCTGCAATGAAACATACATTGAAGAAGCAGGAAAAAGACTCGGTCAAGTGGAGAATAAACACCTTCTTGTCTGATTTTCTTACAGGAATGTTTGTTTGTTTGTTTGTTTTTAATTATGCACAAAGCTACACAAGGGCTATCTGTGCTCTGCCCACCACGGGTATCGAAACCCGGTTTCTAGCGTTGTAAGTCCGCAGACATACCGCTGTGCCACTGGGGGGCCTTACAGGAATAACAACGTGCTTTTTAATTATCATACAGAGTTATTCTTGTTGGCAAATCAGACAAGAGCTACAGGTGAAACTGACCATGATCTTCACTATTAATTGGCTAACAGATCTAACACACACCAATCTTTTTTTCTTCTGTCGGAGTTTATTGCCATACTTAAAAGTGCTGGGGCATTGAAGAGCAGCTTTTACAAAATTGTCCACTGATTTCAATCGATGAGTTCCTGAGGAAAGTTAAAGCTAGAAACTTGTTTGAGCAATGCTATGTTGCAAATGAGAAACTATAGAAGAATAGCAAAATTTTGTTAACTTTCTTTTAAAATAAAAGGAGTGAAAAACTTGTAGTACAGCCTGGTGCTACAGTGTCATCTCTAAAGTGCAGTAGAGTACAGCAAGCTAGTGTATTATTATAAACTGTTGAAATGATTTACAATCTAGTATTTTTCTGTATATCATTCATAGGGTTAAGGCAGAAACATTTTGCAGTAAAGTGAAGTTGTTGAGTGTATTTAATTTCAACTGTTCATTAACAGTTTGTGTGTATATTTCTAGCTATTAACACTTAAGTTCATATTCTTTAGTTAAATATAATTTGTTTCAAATTTAATCTTTTTTTGTAACTATACTCTAAAATATGTTCATTTACTCACTCAGTAGTGTTTTCCAATCTACACAGCTAAACGGGGTGAGATTTTAATCTTTTAAGATAGACATTTTTGAAGTACTCATTAAATTTGTAAGAAAGCATGAGAACAAGAAACATATATGCAAGCTAAGATAATCTCACAGTTTTCATTTAACTGAGATTGTGAATGACAAACCTTATTAGATCAAACAAAGTATTAAAGTGACTTATAAGTATCACAATATTTAATTGTTAAGTAAATCATTTTACTCGTTTATAAAAGTTCCAGAATTTTCATAACCTAACAACCTCATATAATATGAATAAATTTTGTAAATATAAATTATTAATTATTAACCATTTTTGTTCATGTTTGCTTCTGACGAATTATATTTCATATATTTATGCTTCCTTTTTTTTTTTTCATTTTAAAAAGTCACATCAGGGGTATTAGATTACTAAAATGAAGTTAAATCCGCTATTATGGAACTGAAGCTTATATGAAAACAGGCTTTGACACTTTTATATTCTCTTCAGTCCAACTTTTGCTTTGTCAAAACTTGTGGTCCATGATGGTGGATCTTAACTTCATTTTAGATTACTTCACACTGTATTGTGTATTTACCTACTGTTATAATACATGCTACTTTTAAAAATCAAATGGCAGAGATATATATATTGGTAGGTGTTTATTTTTAGTAATACAGATCATCTGTTCTGTAGCAAAGCATCCTGAGAATTCTCATTTTTTTCAATATCACTGGTTTTTAGTGTTTAGAACATAAATGCAAACACTGATAATGTTCTTTTGTTTTGATTGATGTGTAAGATGTTTCTAAAAGCTTGTGAAATGGTTTGCTTTGTTTGACTTGCATAATCTACTTTTAAAAGTTCTGATGGTGTTGTCTTTTTCTGTTTGATTTGTAAGATTAATTTTTCATTCAAAAAAGTTGTTCTGCTAAATAAACACACACATCTTAAAACCTGTACTAATAACATAATTCACAGTCTAAAGGTTTTTTGTTGTTTGATTATTCACATTTTCCATTAATTTTTGCTTTATGTAGTCTACTAATATTTTATTGATGCTTTCTAACAACTTTTAAAATAGATCATAGTTGCTGAAGTATTTTCTAGAAAAAAACTTGAGTTACATAATAAATGTTTCTGTTTGTTTCTTAAAAGCTCAGTATTAAAATCTAAAGAGATAACAACCCAAATAAATATCAAACAGTGATTTTTATTCCACACCAGTAAATATACATTCTGAATACTTAATTACAAAGACTGTACCAAGTTAGTTGACAATATTTTTGTTACTTAAATTGTGAAGGTGAAATTTGTAACAGATTTTTCTCATTTTCTCTTGCTGATGGCTCCAGAGGGGATTGAAATTGAGGTAGGAATTAAAACTGGTGTTTTTAAAATACATTTAAAAAATAAAATTCAGTATATTTTAAACTTTAGGCAGTCGTAAAATAAGAAATATTTGTTAGTTGTTGCTTGTAAAATTGAATGTTGTATTGTAAAAGAACGATTACTTACATGTAGACTGTTCTGTTTGTATAGCTATTTGAGAAAGCGTCAAAAGGGTTACTTTTGAATTTGTCAATCAAAATGATCTTATCTTATTGTGTCTTAAAGGCTTGTTGAGAGTAAGCCAACACTATTTAAACTTATTATTTTTAAAAGTGACAATTTGTTATTTCACTTAATACATAAACTAGATTTTTGTTATATATTAAGTAAAATCAATTGCAAATGTTCATTTTTATTATAAATATAAATTGATATTTATTTCTACCCAATTTGTGAGAAATGAAGAGTTTAATACAAAGTCTCATAAGCTTCAAAATTTGATGTTTCTATATTCAAATGTTTCTACTGTGCATATGAAAAAAAGAATCAAACAAGATTGATATTTAAATATCATTATATATCTAACTGCAAGGTGCATGGTTAAAATTTAACAACAAAGTTCTGTTTAAGATATCCTGCATGAAAAGAAAAAGTCCAATAATCCAGAATAATTCTATTATGTTTGCAGTGAAATGAATGACATCTAACAGATTGTTTTTGATGCGTGCTCTGACATCTAGGAGAGATTACTGCAGCTATTATACTATGGACGGTTATATACAAATGTTTACTTCACTTTAATTAATAATAGACCTAGCAAGATTTTGAAAACCACCAGAAAATAACAAAAGATGACCATGTTTTAGTTTGTTTTATGAATGTTATTCATGCATATAAACATGATTGTAAAATGTTTCATATCAGTTTACATAGAAACAAGAAAGCATCCCAAAATTAACCTGGATTTGCTCTTTTTTTCTTTTCTATTTTCAAATTTGAACAAGCCATAAATAATTTGTAATATGAAAATTTAGAAACAAAGAGAGAGAATCATTGTATTTGAGCTCATGTATGAGTAACTAATCACTACATAAAATGTATAAAAAGAAAATGACTTCACTTTAATAAGCTTTGCTTAATCAAAAATTGTTAGATATTGAACCTTTACAACTGATTAGTGTGTAATAAGTTATTTGGAGGCATGTTAATTAATAAATTAAACTCAACAAAAAACAGTTAAAATTAAGTATTTGAAGAAAAGAACTAAAAAGAAAGCATAATTTCTTCTAAAATTGGCTCTTGACAATGTCAAACTTAATGATATCTGAATCAACTACTTTAACCCTATGTGCATGGGTAGGACTTTACTTGTACAGAATACCATTCAACATGGTATTGCATTTGATGTTAGAGTTATCAACATTTCATGATAACACTACATTGTTCATTTTGGAACAATTAGTGTTAGAGAAAATGCCAAATACAGTATACAGAGATACTAAAAAACTTTATTTATGCATTTAGAGATTATACAAATGAAAATTTGTAAACTTTACAAAGGGCAAAATAATTTTTTATTCTTCACATGAATATCATATTTCACTCTAACATCTCAATGTCTAATTTAGACTGACTTCAGCATTTTACAGACATCTCTTTATTACTAAATTTTCAGTAACACATCTGATTTTTTTTGTGTACTACAGACTTGTGCTGTTAACTAAAAGCTTACCTCATTTCATGAAGATACACTTTGTAAATTCAGAATTTTATTCAACTCTACTAATGTTTTTAATTACCATTAACCCTTTCAGTGCTGAATAATAATTTCATACTAATGTCACATTACTGAATATATTTTCCACAAAGATGAAAAAACATTACCTTACACATTTAGATAACAATTATAGAAAAACTTTTCATACAATTTCACACAATTTTCATACAATCAAGAGAATAGTTTGAACTGATAAAATTTTAACTTAATTGACATACAATAATATATTCTACTGTTAATTTCACTTTTTTCACCATCTGCTTACTGGTCTGTATTGTTCTTCTGAAGTCTTTGAACTGCTGCTTGTCTGTAATCACTGTCGAAGTGATACAGTTCATAGCATGGAACTACACACATTGCATTGTTTGCATTTAAAGCAAGCAAGTATTTCAGGGCTTAATGCATGGCTTTAAAAAAAGCTGTAAACATTCAGGCAAATCATCATACCTTGATCTTTCACCCAGACTCTTAAGAGATATTTTGTTGGCCACTTTGACAATTCAGATTACAAACCAAACTGTGTAGTCTGTAGTGACTAGTCTAGAAAGCACAAACAAACAAACAAACAATTTTCTTGTTGATCAGCACTGTGCAGGATATAAGTTTCTACCAGGGTTACATTTCATATCTTATGGTAGATAGTGTCATACCATTTTTAGGCCTTGTGAGGAAATGCAAAAGTTCCAAGTTTTTGATCCAGCATGTTGACGACACCCTCATGCTAGTTATATATCTCAACTGCTGACGACACCCTCGTGCTATTTATATATCTCGGCTATTACAGGATTGTCAATTTCTTTTTAGCTGACCTCTTCACCTTTAGCATGAACCTGTTTAGTGACTGTATTATTAGTGTGTACAGTGGACAAAAGGTGAACCTGTTTTCTAACTTGCCAAGCACAAGCAACTAGCTTTCCTTTTTTCATAAATACATGATCATCACCTTTTTCCAGATATAAATGCTTTGGATGAATCTGATGGTGTTCCTTAGTGTCCAGGCATCACAGTACCACATGCCCTAATGCCAAACCTTTCTAGTTTAGCAGATAATAGATCAAAGTCAGCATAACCCTATCAGTCATCAATTGCAGGTTGTTGTATTTGAAAGGGCTGTTGTACGTACAACTGCAGACACTTACTGCATCTAGTCCTGAGGCAAGGGTGGTAGTACTGGCTGGCCAGCAGTTCCTCTCCTTCCACTTCCATGTCTCCTTTCTGGTCCTCTGTCTACATTACTGGGAAGTGTTTGAAGGAGTAGGTGGCTTGACTCTACCTCACCATTCTCTCCCTTGTGCACAACCCTGGGTATGTAATGTTGAGAGTGCTGTGGAGGCCCTTGGTTTCTGAGGATATCTGCCTGGTAATCACTTGCACACTCATCACTGCTATTGGTATCTGAACATCATCACTGTCATTCATTATAATATTTCATGCTTCATTAACTCTACATCTGTGATGTGGACACCATTTTTAAATGCCCAAAATATTACAGAATTTTAAACTTTTTTGCAGTCGTAATCTTTGTGATTACTAGCAATAAATGCCATTATTTTCCCAATAAGTCCATGCAAGGGATTCCTCAAAACATTTATTTTCCTTTGCTAGAAAGCTATTTGGTATTACAAAACTAAATGACAATATATTTTAACCAAACAGATAAGGAGTAGTTATGTCACTTTAAACAAACAGACAAGGGTAGTTATGCCTACTTTAACCAAACAGAGAAGGGGTAGTTATGTCTACTTTAACCAAACAGACAAGGAGTAGTTATGTCTATTTTAACCAAACAGACAAGGGGTAGTTATGTCTACTTTAACCAAACAGACAAGGGGTAGTTATGTCTACTTTAACCAAACAGACAAGGGGTAGTTATGCCTACTTTAGTCACCAAACAGACAAGGGGTAGTTATGTCTACTTTAACCAAACAGACAAGGGGTAGTTATGCCTACTTTAACCAAACAGACAAGGGGTAGTTATGTCTACTTTAACCAAACAGACAAGGGGTAGTTATGCCTACTTTAGTCACCAAACACACTTTGTTTATACTTCGACATTAGTTGCCATCTGCACCAAAAGGGTTAAGTGTATGAATGATGATGATATCATTTTAGAAAGTTTTATTTTAGATATTGTTTTTTAGAATCTTCCTGATGTACATACATATTTACATCAGAACTTTTCCACAGAGTTGTTAAAGATGTATGAAATGATGGACATGTTGACATAATTTTAACTTTGTCTTTGAAGTAATGATTGTTATTTGTATGTAAAATTTGCTTGATAGTATGATACATTTTTTTATCTACTTTTAGATCTAAACTTGCCCACACCCATATTGGCCAACCACTCCCAAACACGCTGCACATAATGCCTTCCACACCTCAGATTTTGGGCATGCATACTTTTATCAGAAACTGTGAGACATCACGAGACGAATTCATTTTTTATTCAAAACGCCTTATGAGGTTGTTGATAGAGTATGCTCTCTCTTTACTTCAGTTTAGAGTAAGTATTTGTTGGATAAAATTTGTCTTTGACTGAATTAAAACATTGTATATGTGTTTATGGGAAAATATATCCATTTAGTGTTAATTTTGTTGTTGTTTCTTCATGCTAGGGTGATTCTTGAAAAACTAGCCTGCTAAAAAAGCAGTCCTCAAAATTAGGATATCGAGTCCATGGCAGAAAATAAGCCACCGTAAGTGCATTAATCAGGACAACAACATGGCAAATGCCATGGCCCACTCTGAAGAGATTCTTTCACTTAAAAATACAGTTAACACTTAATACATGAGCAGGGTACAAGACAAGCATCCTCATTAAGGTAAAAAGAATACTTACATTAGGTTTTTTGCATTGATTAAGTATTTTTTTTATTAAAATCAAAAAATTAGAAGCAACTGTGCAATATTCAATATCCTTGGCATGTCAAAATCAAAATGAAACTGATATTGTTTAATGCTAGCAAAATACAGTGAACAACTTTATTTTCAAATATTGATAATCCTCATTCTTCAAATAACGGAAAACTGAACTTTTCTGCTTGCTCTCCATGAAATAGTATCAAAAAAAGTGTCAAACTATCATAAATTTAAATTGATTAACTTCACTGCCCTCTGTAACACTAAAACACAACTTGACCATTTTACACATGATTTTACGGAGTGTATGTTAGTTCATGTTCTGAATCACATTTTGATGAAAGTAAATATATTTTTAATTGAACTAATAATGTGTGAGAAGGAATTATATATCTTTTCACCACTATGCATGAAATAATGAAAGATGCATTAGAAGTGGAAATTAGATATATTTTGAGTTATATGTTTGTATTATTTCAGCTATTGATGTTTAAGTGAATAAACTATCTTACCTAAAAAAATGCAGTACAAAAGTTTTAGTGCACACGGGGTTTATTATTTTATGCAGTATTTTTATTTTCTGTTAGACATAACGTTGAATTATTAAGTTGGGTGTAAGTAGTTCATTTGTGCTTTACAAACTCTCTCAGAAATATCTATATAGATGACCGGCACTTTCAATACTATTCCAGGAACCTTACTTTAAAAAATGAGATTTGCCTTGATTTGTTACCTCAGTCTACTAAATATAGTTCTAACTGACATCTCAAACTAGGCAAGTTGAGGTGATATCATTAAATATTCAAGTAAATTATCAGCATTTTATTTTTTTATAAAATTAGAATCTTTTGTTATTCATGAATGTCACAATCTCTACAGTGTTACATTCAAAATTTAGTAAAATAACTTTATTATTAATGTATATTAATAAACTTGGCATGAGAATGTAGTTTATAATTCAAATTTTTGTATTATCTGTGTTTTCACTTCTTAATTTTAAAAAAGTACTTAAAGAATTCTCAGTATTAATTTTTCTGTGTCATATGCTCATCTGAGTTCCAATTCCTCTATTTCAAAGTCTCTTAATATCAAAATTAGTTTGCTGCAGTTTCCAACCGATTAGAAACACAAACTATACATAATTACAATTAAGCATCTAAAATTTTGAACCTCCTACCTACCTTTTTGAATTTGTCAAATCCACCAAAGATGGGCTTCCTTTCCTGATTTTTGAGATAGTTTGTTAATCATCTTTACAAAGCTGATAGCCATGTTGATAACCAATATAATAGGCAGATTCTTCACTATATGAATCTTGGCAGCTGTTGTTTACATTTTCTTATGTAATCTTTTAGTCAGTGGAATTACATTGTATGTGGTGATCTTGTTTCTGTGCTCCGGGCACCAAAGGAATTTTTTAAAACTTGTTTAATGCTTACTTAGAAAACTAAATAAGTTATAGTAGATTTTGGACATTTTATTCTAATGACTGATATACCTTTGCGTATTTGAAAGCTACATGAATTCATTCTTGAAAACCCAAGTTTATGAGGCTTATTGAAGAACGACTAAAATTTTTTACTCTAGTGCAAAGAAGCTTGAGTAAGCAGTAAGTTCTACAAATCCTTGTTTTTGTGTATACGTATGTATATATTGTTATAGATTTTTCATAAAAGTAACAAAAATGTAAAAATTAGAAACTTCTCAGCTTAGGCTAACAAAATGTCAGTAAGATAAAGCAGCTATGGTTTCACAAACTCAAGTACTCTCTAAAACATTACACATAGTAATCATGTATTTTTTTACACTATGGGAAACGGGGATTGGGTTCCTTCTGTAATTTATTGCATTTGACATGAGGATTAATGCTTCAGTGGGTACAAAGTACAGCGATAAATCCATAAAATTAAAAGAAACATGAAAACATTAAAAAGTTGAAACCATTAAGATCAGTAATTTAGAATTTTCTGGTCAATATTGTAATTAATGCAAAGGAAAAAAATATACATAAATATACGTTGATTATTTCTCTACAGTTGTTGTTATGGTATAGAAAATATGAGGTAAAATATAAAGTATTCTCAAAAAATATTTTTCATATTCATTTAGGAGGCTCTAAAGGTTATGAAAATGAAATATGAAAACTGTAAGGTGAAAAGAAGTATTATTATTATTATTCTTAACATGAAGATCACCTTTCACTCACTCAGAATGACTCAGTAAAGGCTTTGGAAATTTACAGACAAATTTTTAGTAGAAATGCTTCATTAAAAACAAATTTTTTATGTTGTTACAACAGACTTGTAGTGTTTATTG